GAGAGGGAGAAGCAGGCTTCCCGCTGAGCAGGGAGCCCGACTTGGGGCTCGATCCCAGGACCCTGGGATCATGACCTGAGCTGAAGACAGACGCTTAACGACTGAGCCACCCAGGCGCCCCCAGCCTGGGGTCTTAAACAACAGACATCTCTTCCCTCATGACCGAAGGCTTTAAGTCCAAGATCTGGGTGTGGGCAGGGCTGGTTTCTCCAGTGGCCCTTTCTCTTAGGTGTGTAAGACGGCCACCTTCCTGGTGCCTCTTCATGGTCTGTCCTCTGGGCCAGCATCCTTGGTGTTTTCTCTGTACCTTCTAGTCTCTTCTTATAAGATAGAAGTGGGTCACCCTACTGGCCTCCTTTTACCTTATTTACCTCTTTAAACTCCCTGTTGCCAATAAAGTCATACTCTGAGGTGCTGGGGGTCAGGACTCTAAATGTCAAGGGGACATGATTCAGCCCATAATGGGATTTACTCAGGACTTGTTATGTGCTGAGCACTGGGCTCTTTGAACACACGGTTGTGTTTCGTCCTCAACAATGACCTTCCCTGCCCATCTTGTCACATGTGTCCCCATGCACATGCACGACCAGATGCAGACAGTTGCTTTCCAATGTCTTCATGACAAGAGCACACTCGTTTCTTCTCCTGCAGGACCTACACCTTCAGCCTGGCCATGGACCTGATCTCCAGAAAGGACGGTGAGGCCAGCAGCCAGCGAAATGGGGAACTCTACCCTTCACAGATGCCAAGGGACATTAGCAGCATCCAGGCTTTACAGGTGACAGGATTCCCTGTTTGATAAGATGTGTAAAGGGAAGCCACACTTTAAATTAACTCCATGGTAGACTCAGCCCCTCAGGTACAGCTACAGAGCCGGGTGGCTCGGCAAGAGGCTCTGCCCCGCATTGCTCAGACACAGGCCACACTGCTCCGTCCACCCTGGGGCAGAGGGTGGACGCCCCTTAGCTGTGAGCCAGGCTGTAAGCCCCTGAAGGCAGCCTTCTGGACGTTGCAAGACCATGCAGCATGTGTCTGTAACTCAGTTGGTCACGGCGTCAGGGCATGGGGCAGGGAAGATGTGGGGACACAGCCCTGCCCAGAATCCCAGACTCTTACACCAATTATCTCATCAGCATGCTGTGTGACCCTGGAGAAATCACCTCCCCCAAGGCCCCCAAAGATGGGGGTCTTTCAAGTCATTTCTAGGAGAAAGAAGGGGGCTGGTACTTGGTAACCCGGAGGGCCAGCAGCCGCAGGGCCAGGCTCTGGGGCACAGCAGGGGCACGTGAGTCCTGCCACCTGCCTGGGGCACGTTCAGGAGTGAAAGCTGCCCGCAGGGCCTCCATGGAGCAGGCAGCCCCTCCCCCAAAGCAAACAAGTGACATGGTGTCCCTGGCGCTGTCTGGGTGGTGGGCAGCCTGGCCCTCTGGTCCCTTACGCAGGAACCCCCAGGGGGCAGGGCATTCCTGCAACTAACCCTTGACCACTTCCCACTTCAGTGGAGATGCCTCTCTGTTGCATCATTTCCGAAGTGGTCCCTCCATGTCCTGCGTCCTGTGCCCCCACATCACATTAGGATTTCAGCCTAGCCACCTCCAACTGCATGGGAGATGTTAGTCCCCATTTCACAGATCTGAAGACTGAGACTTATGGAAGCTTGCAAGGGGCACTCAGGCATCTAAGCACCCCCGAACTTGTTGTTTTGGAGGGTTACATGGGACAAGGTGCCATCGCAGGCCAGGCCCTCAGTGCTGAGAGTCTGTCCCTATACAGAGGCAGGGCCGTGATGTCAGGCTTGTCCCTGTGTCCTCAGCACCTGGCTGGGGGCTTGGCTCGTAAATCTCATTGGATAAATCACCTAATGACCTAATGAAGGCCCTGATCAGGATTCATGAGCCAATTGCCCTAAATCCAAAGCTCACTTTCCTTCCCCCAAGAAGCCACCAGCCCCTCCAGGCTAGGGTGGGCTTGGTCCAGACAGGAGCTGAGCACAGGACACTGGGACTGGGAAGGCCACGGAGCATCCCCATTAGACAGGTCTTTAGTCGGAGGGAACAGCCTGGGCTGAGTAGCTGCTGGCCAGGAGCCAGAGATGGACAAAAACTACCCCTACCCAGACTGCCCAGACTCTGGAAGGCACAGCGGAAGCTGGACTCGGCCCCCTTAGTGGGGTGCAGGGGAGCAGGCATGGACTGGGATGGGGCTCCCTGAGGCCATGCCCCCCTTTCCAGATGGAGGACAGGATGCTGGAATGGAAGGGTCAGCTCATAGCTCGGCCTGCATCTGAACTCGCTGCAGCTTTGAATGGGTGAAAGCCTCACAGACATCTCCCTGCAAGCCGGGCCCTCCTTGCCTGGTCTGAGCTCACCCCTCCGTGTGGTAGGAAAAGAAGACTGTGGCATCAGCTTTCATACACGGATGCTAGTAGACTGAAGAATGGCCCCAAAGATATGAGGTCCCAGTCCCTGGAATTTGCCAGTGTTCTCTTATGAGGAAGAGTGTCTTTGTCTGAGGGCTGAGTTAAGGGTCTTGATGGGGAGCATCCCATGGGCCCTAAATCCAATCACAGCTGCTGCTAGGAAACACAAACAGGTTATGTGATCCACAGCGAAGAGGAGAGACCACAGATACACAGAGGAGGAGGCCACGTGAGCGTTGGGGCAGAGACTGGAGTGTCTCAGCCGAGGCCAAGGACTGCTAGGGCTCCAGGAGCTGAGAAAGCCAGGAAGGATCCTTCCCTAGGACCTCAGAGGGAGTGGCCCTGCTGACACCGTGATTTTGGAATTCTAGCCTCTAAACTGAATCCATCTTTTGCTTAAAGTCCCCAGGTGGTGATGCTTGGCTACAGCAGCCCCCGGGTCTCTCATGTCTAAAGAGGCAATACAGTCCTGGTGTCCCCTAGGCCCCAGGAGCGAGGCCATTCCACTCCCCAAGGGCTTTGCACTTTATCTTAATATTCCTGTCGCAAAGCTCTGCATTTCAAAGTTCAAATGCTCTCAGCAATGCATTGACAGTACTTGGAGATTGTCAATAAGCAGATTAAGGCTGGGAGCCCATGTGTGTCTTGCAATCTGCTTGCAGATCAGCCCTTGACAGGGCCAGGGGATGAGATACTTTAATATCCATTCTCCTGGGGAAAGGCATCCTGGTGCCAATAGGCATCAACCATCCTTCACGATTGTAAGACAACAAGACGAACTTCCCTTTGGAGCTTTGCCTTAGAAGGTGTGTGTTTGCCTGTGGGGCCAAAGATGGGGAGTGGGAGAAAAGGGTCCACTTAAGGAAAAGGAGCTAGGCAAGGACAAGCAGACCAGCAGCTAGAGCTGCCTCCTGCCCAGATGTCCTTCTCATTCCGGCCATCCCTGATGAGCTTGGCCTATCCATCCCTGGTTACTGTAACCCATCCATCCCAGTGACCTTGGCCTGTCCATCTTGGTGACCTTGACCCATCCATCCCTGGTGATCTTGGCTCTAGGCATGACCAAGTTCCATGTCCGACCTGAAGTCCCCTCAGCCCACCTCCTATGACAGGTACTGTCAGCTCTCCATCTCATCTCATCTCATCCTCTTTTATGACTCATCTTTCCATGTTTGTCCCTTGGTCCCAATGAGATCCAAAGCTCCCTAGGTGGGGAGTCTGTGAACTGAAGCTTGTTTCCCAGCCTCTGACATGCATGCTCCCAATATGCTGGGCCCCAAGGATACTAACAGCAGTATCTATATAGAGAGAAAATATGTAATATCTATTATATGATAACATATATGTGTGGATATAGAAAATGTCCTAAGAAGTCACTATGGAGGGATGCTCTGTTCTGAATGTTTGTGTCCCCCCAAAATTCATATGTTGAAATCCTAACCACCAATGTACTAGCATTAGGAGGTGGGGACTCTGGAGGTGGTTAGGTCAGGAGGGTGGAACTCCCATGATGGGATTAGTGCCCTTATACAAGGGACCCCACAGAGCTCCCTTGCCTCTTCCACCCTGTGAGGACCCAGAAAGTTGGCCCAGAAGAGGGTCCTCGCCCAATCATGTAGGCACCCTGATCTCAAATTTCCAGCCTTCACAACTATAAGAAATAGATGTCTCTTGTTTACGAGCCCCCAGGCTGTAGTGTTCTGTTACAGCTGCCTGGAGGGACTAGGACAGGGGTAAGGACTTGGAAGAAACACAAAGGTAGAAAAGTTGATGTGCTCTGTATGGTATAGGCTGTTGCTATGGCTTTTCATTTCTTTGGTAGTGTCATAATGCCTAGGAAATAAAAAGTTGCTAGAAATTAAAGAGATTTCCACCTGCAATTCCTAATCTTCTTTCATTGCAATGACTGGTGAAATGGGCTGTAGCCACTGAGGGAGGAAGGAAGAGATCCCGTTTCTAGGCCACTTGTGGGATGGCGAGGGGAGGTGCCCATTGAGTAAGTCTAAGAATGCAGATGTAAAAATGCACATGCCTTTACTTCCACCATCTCAGGCCACAATAGCGAGGAGGAGTGTTTTGGTGGTGCGCCATGGCGAAAGAGTGGATCAGATCTTCGGGAAGTCATGGCTACAGCAATGCTCCACTCCAGATGGTAGGTAATGTCCTGGCGGAATGGAAACCCAGAAAGTAGGTAGATCTAACAAATGACATCCCTTCTTGACCTCCTGAGTCAGCTCTCCTATGGCGCCATTCTTGAGAGTGACTGTGTAGAGATAGTATACGTGAGAGGGGTGTGCGCTACATCTTTCTCCATGGGCGTTATACTCGTGCACTGAGTGTGTACGCTGTCTGTGAGTATCTTACCTCAAATGCTGCATGGAAGACGGTGGAATGGTCATCAACAGTAAGCCATGTGCTGGTGTGACACATGGGCAGTTGTCTTTCTTCTGGATGCACACATATGGTAGCTGGTGAGTGCCCAGCATTGACTTGAGAGTATATTGAGGTCTCTGCACCCTCAGCTGTTGGCACAACCCTATCTCACAGGCTCATTGCTCTATCTCTCTGAGCTCATCTTCACTGCTGTCGTCATTTCCCTACAATGTTTAACTGTGCTACTCAACAGATGGACGTATTCTGAACATGCACCTTGCTTACCCCAAGTTCACCGGGGATACCAGTGATGCTAAGAACTAAGGACGATGCTTGTAAATACAGCACACCCACAGGCAATCCCTACCGATGATCTACATCTGTACCAATGCACATCCCTTAATGGAAAGCCCAGCATGCCATGATTTCTAAGCCACGGATAACTGTATAAATGAAGATATTGAATGAACATGCAGTCACAGTAGCTGGGCTAGCCAAGCTCTTTTGGAATTCCTCCCGGAGCCCAGCAGGCTGAGAAGAGGGGAAAACCATTGGCAGATGATCAGCACACACCAGGAAAATTCTGAGCAGATTATATCATGACCGAACATATCTGCAAGAACCCACGGAGGGGATGCTGTGGTAGTATCTATAAAACAAGATCAATCAGAGACACAAAGGCTCAGAAGAGAAACAATAGGATGGTAGGCGGCTATGAGAATGAATTGGCACTCACACATGCAGTTAGAAGAAACGTTCTTGTAAGACAACGATGATTGAAACCACAGACTGAAATGGCACCTGATGTCAGTGTGCGTGTGGTGGTGGTGATGGTGTGAGAACCAACACAAAACAACCAGCTCCAACACCAGTGGTGGGACGTCATGGAAGGAGGAAGAATATTGGTCATCCAGACAAAAGACCAGGTCACCTACAGGGGAAAGTACTTTTTAAAAAATTTTATTATGTTATGTTAATCACCATACAATACATCATTAGTTTTTGATGTGATGATCCATGATCCATTGTTTTTGTATAACACCCAGTGCTCCATGCAGTACGTGCCCTCCTTAATATGCATCACTGGGCTAACCCATCCCCCTCCCTCCTCCCCTCTAAAACCCTGTTTGTTTCTCAGAGTCCATAGTCTCTCATGGTTCATCTCTCCCTCTGATTTCCCCCCCCATTTTTCCCTTCCTTCTCCTAATGTCTTCCATGCTATTCCTTATGCTCCACAAATAAGTGAAACCATATGATAATTGACTTTCTGTGCTTGACTTATTTCACTTAGCATAATCTCCTCCAGGCCCATCCATGTTGATGTAAAAGTTGGGTATTCATCCTTTCTGATGGCTGAGTAATATTCCATTGTAGACATGGACCACCTCTTCTTTATCCATTCATCTGTTGAAGGGCATCTCGGGAAAGTACTTCAAAGGCACTGGAGAGTCCCAGCTTGAAGGAGGCTCCTGGTGGCTCTTTGCACCAGGCAAAGTGGCCCTACAGTGAATACTGACAGTCTAATTTGTCCAAATTCTGCATATTGCTATGTTTACCGTATTACAATGGGGTGTTTGGGGGAGAGGCCAACCTTTCCTCTGACCCTCCTCATTTCAGCTCACTTCTGGGCCAAATTCCCACGCCTTGTACGGCCCCTCATTTCTCAGGGCTGCTGCCAGGTCACCCCTTGTCTATAAGGTTCTACACCACCAGAACCTAATGTTGCTCCAGCTCCTTATCTTCTTCGGAGCTCTGCTCTCCACCCTCACAGATAGAGTGTCCGAGGACAAGAGACCGACATGGAGCAGATGCCTTTGAGAATACAACACAGTCAATAGACCTTCTCTTGGGGAAAAAAAAGAAAAAATCCACTTTTCCAGCAAACACGTGTATTTTGGCATTTAATGAAGGCCTTTCTTCAAACAATGTCTCTGCCAATGGACGTTCCAGGGAGGGAGCTTTCAGGAAAATCGTGCTTGGAAAGGGCTGGGATGCTGTGAGCAGGGCTGGGCTGGCGTGCTCGGGCAGGGCACGTGATGGGGCCTGCCCCGGATGCACAGCAGGTCTCAGGAAAAGCGGCTTGGTGGCTAGAACCTGCTGGCAGCCGGGGGGTTGGGGGCTGCGTGGGAGGGTGTGAGGGGTAGACCCGGCACACAGCGAGATGAGGCCCACCACTTGTTGACCACTTACCCTGAGCCAGGCCCTGGGATCACAGTGACTCATTGTAACAGCTCTATCATTTCTCCCTTTTACTGATAAGGCAGACCTAATCACACAACTGGCAACCCCTGGTGTCAGGATTTGTACCAGACTGTCAGGTCGTAGAGCTCAAGGTCAAATGCTTCGCAGCCTCTAGATGGAGGGTGGGGGGAGTTCCTGCGGATCCTCCGGATTTCCAGGCGCGCCTCAGCAGTTGGCTGAATAATGCACAATGCGGGAACATTCGGCCATGGGTACTCCATCCCCGGAGACAGTATGACACACTGTCAGCTATGGGGACAGGCAGAATTTCACCTCCTTAATTAACGCCAACTTGGGATTCCCATCAAGTTAAGCTAAATCAGTAATGGAGGCAGGAAAATTGTATGAGTGAATCTTTGTGAGGGGTCCTCAGGGGACAAAGAGGGTCTCATGTTTCCTGAGGCGAAAACCTGTGTTTTCTGTATTTGAAGAAATGTGTGCTCAGTAGAGTAGAAATTTCTCTCCAATTGAATCCACATCGCAGAGCACATTCCAGAAAAAACACAGTTGACAACTATTTAAGTGATAACCCTGCTTCCGATATGGGTCTCGATCTTGGGGGTTTTAAATATGCACTAAGTTGATGGACCTGAACGCCTGGTGTTATTTATGCTTTAGGGAAATACTACCGGCCAGACCTGAACTTCCCTTACAGTCTACCCCGAAGGAGCAACGGTATCAAAGACTTTGAAAACGACCCACCATTATCATCGTGCGGGATTTTCCAGTCCAGGATGGCAGGTATGTTTGGGGATAATTACAATAATCACAGCAATGATTATCTCTAGTGCATACTGAGCCTTAGCTACACGCCCACTGAAGTCAGCATTAGCATTATCCCCACTCTGCGATGAGGACGCTTACTTAACCACAGAAAGGTTAAGTAAGTTGCCCAAGATCACACAGCTAGTGAGTGGAAGTGCAGAGATTGGACCCAGGACGGACGGTTGGGGAAGTCAGAAGGAACGAATGATAGGCATGGAAAGAACAAGAGAGGGGAGAAAAACCAACGACCACCGTGTACACTATGGATGTTATTTTAAAAATTAAAAAAACACATCTTCTCTTTGTTTTTATTTCAAAATCTGTCAGCTTGGGCTTATGCTTTATGTCTGGGGTTCTGGTTCCATTGATTGACTTTTTGGAACACGAGAAGCCAATAAATCCATCTGGTCTTCCTTTAATGAATGAAGAACCTGGAACCGGGAACTGGAGAAGGTGTGTGAACTGAAGGAGCTCGGTGTCCGGGCGGGCAGTAGATGGCCTCTGCATTGGTTCTGTGGGGCCACGTAACAAAGTGCCAACGTAGAGTGGCTTCAGCAACAGAGGTGCATTCTCTCTGGGTTCTGGATGCCAGAAGTCCGCGTTCCTCCTGCGGCCGCGAGGGCGTCTGCTCCAGGCCCCTCCCCTTGGCGTGTAGACGGGTCCCTCTGTGCCCACTGTCTCTGCATCCAAACTCTGCCTTTTACAAGGACACTGGTCAGAGTGGACCAGAGCCCCCCTAGTGACCTCATCATAACTTGACCACCATTATGAAGACACCATGTCACACTCGAGGACCTGGGGTTTGGGACCCCAGCATATGAATTTGGGGGACACAATCCAACCTGTGACACCTTCCTCTACAGCCTCTGGCCTTGGCACTGTGCATATATCCTACTGAAAAGATCCCCTTCTTTCCCAAGGACCAGACCCTCTGGTTTTGTGAGAGGCAATGTGACCTCCAGGCTTGTCCTCCCATGAGCCTCAGGTAGTCTCAAGCTCCCCGTTGCCCCAGCACAGATTACCCCGACCTTAAAACAGCCCCCACATGTCGGCTCATGGTTCCATAGGGCAGAAGCTCAGGCACAGCGTGGCTGAGTTCTCTGCTCAGGATCTCACAGCATGAAAGCCAGGTGTCACCTGGGCTGGGCTCCCATCTGGAGCCTGTTGGAAGCAGTTCCAGTCTCTCCCAATGGCTGTTGGGGGGATTGTGTTCCCTGCAGTTGTAGGACTGAAGTCCTCATTCCCTTGCTGGCTATCCTCAAAGGGGTGCACTCAACTCCCAGCGACCCTACGTTCCCTGCCATGTGGTCCCCTCCATCTCTGAAGCCAGCAGTAGGGAATCTCTTGAGTGTTGAATACTGTATTTTTTTGAGAGAGAGAGAGAGAGAGCAGGAGGAGGTATGAGGACAGAGGGAGAGGGAGAGAGAAAATCTTAAGCAGGCTCCATGTTCAGCGTGGAGCCCGACATGGGTGGGGCTCAACCTCACGACCCTGAGATCATGACCTGAGCCGAAACCAAGAGTCAGATGCTCAACCGACAGAGCCCCCCAGGCGCTGTTCGAATTCCCATACTTCTGAACCTCTCTGGCTTCTTTTCTGTGACAACCAGAGAAAAATCTCTGCTTTTAACGTGCTCACCGGAATGGTCAGGCCTCCCTGCAATAATCCCCTTCTGCCGTACAACACAACACAGTCCCAGGAGCACCACTTCATGTCATCACGGCTTCCAGCCACACTCAAGGGGGTGACACAGGCGTGTGCAGCAGGGGGTGGGAATCTCGGGGCCCCCGAAGGTCCTGCCTCCCTCTGGTGGTGAGGGCCCATCGGAGGCCACGGTTACGAAGAGGTGCTTCTCCACCTGCTGTTTTCCAGGGGAAGCATTACTGGACAGCGGCATCAGAGTCAGCTCGGTCTTCGCCTCCCCGGCCCTCCGCTGTGTGCAGACAGCCAGACACATCCTGGAAGGTCAGTGAGAACCGCAGCGAGCCTTGACCTCTTGGCTATTCTCCAAGGGGAGAGGGAGGTGGACGGGGGTAAGAATTGGATGAGGGGCGATGAATGGCCACGTAAGTCGTAAGACGCTCATGGGGCAGCCCTCCAAGAGCTATGAGCAGGCACTGAGCCCGCAAACATTTCTGAAATGCTGGGATTGTAACCGAGTGCCAGGAGCCTGTCATCACACTGTCCACCTTTGGTCTACATCCACCATGTGTTAAAAAAAAAAAAAAATCTGGGGAGGGGCATTCAGAAAAACCCAGAGAGCTAGGAATGGCTATGGTCCCTCCTGAGCCCAAAGCCCACGACTTCCAGGGCAAGGGGCTCGGCTCCTGGGAGCTGTCCAGCACCCTCAAAGGCTGATGTCCCTTAGGACGCCACCGGCAGGCCTTTAGAGTTTCTGCCAGAGAAGTGCAGCCTATTTGGGGGCGTTGGTTCTGCATCTCCCGCTGGACCCCCGCCCTGCCCTCCTTGTGTGTGGGGGGGTGTAGGTCACCGTGCAGGAGCACGGGCCGATGCTCCACAGCGATGGGACAGAGGGCAGAGCATGTGGCCACAGATGCAGCAGGTGTGCAAATGTGGGGGAGGCGGCTTGCCTCTATTTTCTCAGAGACAGAGGGGGTCAGGCCACCAGCTGAAAGTGAGAAAAGGAAGGCCTTCTCGAGGTTTGGGGACACACAGAAGGTATGACATGCCCATCAAAGAGAGGGGCCAGATCACGGTGGGGAGATGGTGGATGGCCGCTGGGCAGAATGGAGAGCCCACTGAGGTCAGAGAGCATGATTTTACATTGAGACCCACCCACCGACTGGGCCCGGGGCTTTCCTGCAGGTGCAGACATGCAGGAGCAGGTGCAGAGCTGGCTCTAACAACTTGAGATGTGAAATAAAAATTCTCAAAAATGCTCTCTGGTGGTGGTAACATCAGTGCCTCTAGGACGATCTCTCATGGACTTGTAGCCTATATGCAGAACATCCTTATTGTAATCATGATGCCTGATAAAGTTACCAGGGTATAAACCCTGTGTTCCTTCAGGAAAAAGAGGGCACTCGGCCTTCTTCCTAGGTCCTGGAACATGACTGATCTGTTTCCAGACTGGCATCCGAGATGCTGACCTGCCACCCTTAGTTTCAACGCCGGGTCAGTGGCTGTCCAGATGGACCATTTCCCAAAGTGTGACCCGCAGAGAAGTGGCCGCCAGATGGCTCCACAGAAGGATCGGCCAAGCCCATTTGGGAATTTCTCCTACTGTTCCTTCATGTGACCTATTCACATGGACCTAACTGTGGACACGGGCCCTCCACGGGCTGGAGAGAGCCCGGGAGCCGGATTAGACCATGGAACTCCCTTTCCTAAATGTGCTTTGGCAAAGGGACCGGTCCAGGGACCTGGACTGCATTTTGGGAACTGATTTTATTTCCAGCATTTGAGCTTAATGACATTTGCCCCATTTCTAACAAAAACATGCAGGTCTTCTTTGCCCCACTCACAGAGAATGTCTTCTGCCACAGGTCTTCTCTTAGCTGAGGGAGAAAATGCTTGGGAAGGGTAGCTGGGAGAAGTCGGATGTTCTGAGAGACAGCTTCCTCTGCCCTTCACCTGCTGCTCGGTCTGGGGTGTTTGTCAGGACGGGGCCTCAGTGTGACCCGTGTGCTCTCCATTGGCCGGTCTTTTCCAGGGATTATTGGGTTGGCCAATACCGTGTGCTCTCGCTCTTGACCGAGAACCAGGCCCGGCGCCAGCCTGGCTGCAGAGCCGTCCTGGACCATCGGGGCGGGCGCCAGGGTGAGCCTGCTGCTGGTGGTGCCTCCCAGCCCGGGTCCCTTCCCGATGGACGGGCGCCACCGCTCCTCGGATACCTTGCAACCACCCAGTGGTTTTGGGCTCAGAAATAGCATGGCTACGAGTAATCACAGAACAATACTTGCCAAGAAAAAAAAAACCCACATTTTTAAAAGGTATTGTTTAGGTGTAAGGAGAGACTTAACTTACGTAAAACCAAAATGGACTCTGAGGACGATAAACGCTTGTGTTCTGTTGGATCCAGAGCTCAAACTGGAGAAAAGAATTAAGATAAGAGTGGAACCTGGAATCTTTGAGTGGACGAAATGGGAGTCCGGCAAAACCACCCCGACTCTCATGACCCTGGACGAGCTGAAAGAGGCGAATTTCAACATCAGCATGGATTATAGGTACGCCGTCCTCTTGCCTTCTGCCAGGGTGGGGTGCTTCTCTAGTGCTTGTTCAAGAAGAAATATTCACGACACCCATTAAAGATGGTAAGAAAGGCTGTATTCGGGGAGAATGCTGCACTGGGGGGTTGTCACAGGGGAGCAGGGTGGGACTCAGCTCCAAACACAATGAGGACAAGTGGGGGCTGTTAGCCGAGGAGCAGGGTGGGGGGTGGAAAGGTACTAAGAGGGTGGGTAATTCTCCATAAACTGCCCTAGCAGCAGCTGGCTGAAGGCAGGCCAGAGGGACCAGACATCACCGGGGGGTGGCGGGGCATGCGGAGCTTGCTCAGGTATTGAGGGGGAGCCCATACCAACGCCGGGGCTTCTGGCTTCACGGTGTTAGCCGGAGTCTTGCTAAAACTGACTCTACGCAGTTGGACACTGAAGCCCCGCGGTCGGCCTCGCGAGCCGCGGGCTCGAGGAGCCTGGCTAGGGTGTGCAGTCAAGGAGACAAGTTTTGTCATTCTCGACCCACGGCTGACTCTTGGCCATCACAAAACCCTCTGGTGTTCTGTGAGGGCACTTGCTGGAGATTGGACATCAGCCCTTTGTCGTTGGGGACACACAACCGGAGTGTTGCTGTGGACCACGAGCTGCCTTGAGGTGGGGCTGTCTTAGAAGGGCTTCTCCTGGGCACCTGGGTGGCTCAGTTGGTTGAGCAACTGCCTTTGGCTCAGGTCATGATCCTGGAGTCCCGGGATCGAGTCCCACATCGGGCTCCCTGCTCAACGGGGAGTCTGCTTCTCCCTCTGATCCTCCCCCTCTCATGCTTTCTGTCTCTCATTCGCTCTCTCGCAAATAAATAAAAAATCTTTAAAAAAAAAAAAAAAAAAGAACTTCTCCTTCTCCAGCTGACCACACAGCAAGCAGGCCAGCATGGCAGGGGTCCTCCCTCTTGTTCTTTAGGCCTGCGTTTCCCCTCGCCTCCCTCCTGCCGGCTGAGAGTTATGACGAGTATGTGGAGAGGTGTGCGGTGAGTGTGGGACGGATCATCAGCGCCTGCCCACGGGACAGTAAGTGCCTCCCCCCCTTCCCTGTCCCCCACCTTCGGGTATGGGCAGGCCCCGGGGGTTGGGGTCTTACCTCTGGTGTGGAGACTGGATGATTTTACGAACCTAGGAATACCGCAACTCCTTCCGCCCCCCACCCCAACCAACAGAGCTACATGGAGGGCTCTGCAGTAACGCGGTGTGTAGACACATGCCCCTGCCGCCCTGGGGACCCCGATTCTGAGACTGGGAGCCGATGGGATCTAGGACAGTGGATCAGCACAAACCACACATGTCTGCGTCCTAGGAAACAAGAGACTGAAGATGGAAGAACCAGACATCAGGCCACATTTGAATGCCGATCAGCACAAAACATCTGTATCCGTAGATGGTTCAGACCCTTAGAAAAATCCGAATGTGGAATCTGAATGTGGAAATGCCTAAGAGACGAGTGGGTTGTTAGGTGTGACAGTGGCGGGTTGGGTGTGGAAGGGTGGAAGTCCTCACTGGGAGGGGCCGCCCCCGGCAGTCTGAAATGCTGGACGTTGGCGATGGGGGGGGAGGGGCTGGGGGTGCTCTGACGGCGCATGATGCACAAATGTCACACCGTTGCAGCTGCAGGAGGCGGGAGGCCCACCTTCGGGCCTATCTGGGTATCTCTGAAAGTGTCCATAGTGAAAAGCTAAAAACTAAGCCTTTAAAAATTTACATTTAGCAAGTGTGTAGTGAACATCGCGCTGTGTCAGACGCCAAATAAAACACGGTGGGGGAAACCCAAGTGAAGAAGCACGTGCTCCCCCCTCAAGGAGTTTGAACATGACTGGGGAAAGGGGCACGGCATCTGGAATATTAGGAATTTTGAGTGGCATGAGGCTGCTTTACGTTGCCTACTTCGACGGGCTGGCATCCTGGGGAAGTGTTCTTTTGGGAACTGCACCTTAGTGGCATTTAACTGATCGCCAAAGCCCTGTTCCTCACACTGACTGCCACGGAGCACCACAGGATGGAAGATGACGTTAGAGCCTTCCACTGCACGGCCGGGGTCCCTCCTCAGCCCGCCGCTGTCCTGCTGTTCATGTCAAGCCTCTGTCCTGAGCTGAAATTCAGAGGCCATGGGATGCTCTGCCCTTCTGAGGACCCCCTACAGGGGTGAGGCCCTCGGGAACAGGGATAGAGATCTGGTTTATCAGCTCCTGAGCCTACTGAGCACCGTCTACGTGCTGCTCACTGCAGGGAACACAGCCCGCCTGTCCACACGGCCGCACGTGCCACGGAGGCTGCCCGGGTGCCGCACCTGAGCCGTAGGACAAGCGGGATTTGGAAGGCAAACGGTGCCCGAGAGCAGAGAGCATGAGCAAGGCGGGAGGGTGGCAGGTACGACAAGCCGCAGAGGAGGAACGAAATAGCCAGGTGGGCTGGAGGGACAAAGCCAACACCTACCGGTCCCCGGGCAGGGGGCCCTTCACGGATATTACCTGTTAACTGCTCACCTTCCTGTGCGGTCTGTGACGTCACGGCCCCACACTCCCCATGATGCTGAAGCTCAGGGGGCTGGAGCCCGCGTGTCCAAGTCACCTGCACGCTGACCGCACAGGCCCAGAGTCCAAGCTGTGCGTCCTCCTCCCAGACGGCGCTTGGCCGCCGCACCATGACTTGGGAAGCCAAAGATACGAGAATGGAATGAACAGGAAATAACACAGGAAAAGTACATCAGGGCTTCAGTCCTGTTGGAGAATCTACAGTTGTGTTAGGAGACAGCGTGAACAGACTGTTCTGTGTCAGCTGTAGCCCTCGGGGGAGGCCCGCCGCCCGACTCCCTCCGGCAGGTGGATCCAGTGGGTCCGGCCAGGGCACCTCCCGGACTCGCCCGGCTGGGCCAGCTCTCTCCCGCTGTGCTTGGTGCCTGTGTTGGTCACGCTGCCGGCGGGGGACTCGCTCCACCTGTGGACTCAGAATGGCCTTATCGAAGCAAGAGGCATCAGCAGGCTCATGGTGGCCAACTGGCTGATAATTCTCTAGCTAAGGGACCCAGCCTGGGCGGCAGCCACCACCACATCCTGCGAGAGATGGCAGCTCGGATCATGGCGCAGTCCCATCCCTGAAGCTCGCGGCAGGTGCTACCGCTGCAGATCGTGCCCATGGACGTGATGCACACGGACTATGCACAGGTGGCTACCTGCAGCACCACTTCCTACCCCAGCTCTCTCAGGCTTTGTGCACCACAAAGTGGTTCCCCCCAGGAGCACTGCGGACCCTCGTTCTAATAAAAGGCACTCTCTGTGCCTCCTCTGACCCCGAGGTGTGCTTTTCTCTACAGTGGGCGTCATCCTGATTGTGAGCCACGGCTCGGCGCTGGACTCCTGCACTCGCCCGCTCCTTGGGCTGCCGCCCCGGGACAGTGGAGACTTCGCCCAGGTGGTGAGAAAGGTACGTGCCGGCCCCTTTCTCTTTGGGCCATGAAGTCAAGCCCCCAGAGCCCACAGGGTCATCGTATTTCCTTCTCAGAATGAAAACAGGTGTCCAGCCCACCCAGGGCAGCAGGGACCACCCCACTCGCCCCATCTCCTGAGAATGCGTGCACCTGCTCTTATGCAAAGGGCAGCCCTGGGCGGGGGGGCTGACGGGAGCAGCTTATCATCTTTATCATCATTATGGCAACTTTGGCCATTTGCTGCCCAGATTACTATTATTATATATTATTATTATTATTACAAAAAAGTAAGATATGGTTATCCCCTGCAGCTCCAGTAGTTGAACAAATGGTCCAGTGGGGAGTAAACCCTGTGGACACAAAGAGAAAGAGCAAAGGCTGGCCTGGCTTGCTCTGGGGACCCGGGGGCAGGGGGCTGGAGGACAGAAAGGAACCCCCACCCTCTTGCCTTTCGAGTCAGCCCACCATGGAACACACAAGACTTGTGGTAGCCTGAGTGCCTCGGGTTGGGCTGGAGCTCTGCAAACACTTACAGGTAACCACCATGTAGAGAAGGACGGTGGGTACTTTGCAACAACCCGTTGACCATCACCCAATAACCCAGAGGCGGCTTTATCCATCAGTGAGGTGAATCAAGGCGGGGAAACTAGGGGCTCAGACCCACCCCCTGCTCCTGCCCCGAAAATCTACTCAGGGCCAGATTTGCCCCCCGTCCTTGTCCTTTTTATCAGATTGATCAGTTGACCGATGACCTTGAGGCTGGGAGTGCACTGCTATAGACAACACCTGTGATGGGAGATGGGTCCCTGAGTTGGCTCCTTGGTGCAAAATTGTCACAGGACCATGAGCGGCCAGAGTCTGTTCGCAGAGGAGCAGACCCCAGGCCCCGACCAGCCAACACCAGCTCGGAGCCTGGGCAAGGTCCTTGGCTTTCAGAGCCCCGCCCTGCCTGCCACAGAAGGCCAGGTCCTCCCTCACGTGGGGGCGAGTCAGAGAGCAATACCTGCATGCGCCTTCTCTCTTCTCGTTCAGTGTCCTCTGGACCTGAGTGGAAGCATGCATCCCCTCCCAAGTGTCTCCAAGGTAGGGTTTCCCAACTGCGACCCAGATGTTCCCAAGCCCTCTGGGTCCTGGGCCACCAGTTGACTGCTATCTGAATATAGGGCTCGAGCCTCCAGGCCATGCTGGATGACGATGGATTTTTCTGGGGGTTCTCCTGGTGGCCCCCGCACCACCTGCTCCCTGAGCATCGCTCTTGCTGATGTCACTGTCTCCCTCTCATGTGCTCACGGGCTGCACGCTCCGGATCCTGCACCCCTTCCCAGGCTGTCCTGGGCTCCCGGTCATCCACACGTGCCAGTTGCGGACAGAATCGCAAATTTGGTGCTATCCCAAAACCCCACCGGTCTTCGCAGCCAGATTCCCACCCACTCCCCTGACTCTTGGCCTCCCCTTCTCCCGATGCCAGCCTTGAACTTCCAAATTCCTGTGACTTTCTTATCCTGACAGTTTGGTGTCCACCTCGCCCCCTCTCCAAATAAGCTGGACTTGCCTGCACATATCAGACATTTACCAAGGGGCTCTGGGGAACCCCGGGCCTTCAAATCAGGGGCAGATGGAAAGAGACCGTTCACAGCCTTCCCTTTGCCCGCCACACCATGCTGCCCCCACACGCACACACACACGCCCACACATACGTATGTACACACACATGCACACACGTGCACGCATACACACATACACACGCACAAAGATGCATACGTGTGCACATGCATGCATACGCCCCTGGACCCACATGCACACATACACACACACACGCACGCTCACACACACACGCAAAGTCTCTCTAAGCAGGAGAGAGTCGTCCTGAGTCACCACCAGCCTCCACAGGGATCCCCCTGCATGTTGGAATTTCTGCAAATTTTGTCTCACTGAGGAATTTCTCAGCATCAAAAGAGAGGGAAAAAAGGAAAGCAAAACATGCAAACAAACCCAAAAAAGCCTTAAAAACAAAAATCTACGCGAACGCTTTCACTTTGCAGTTGAAGTCATGGAGGTTCTAAAGTTTCACTTAGCGGTTTTTCCTGGGCTCTGCAGACAATGCCACTATCCCTTTGTGATGCTAAATTTGAGAATGCAAGTCAGTCCCCAAGCAGCAGCCTGAGCTTTGCAGCCTGGACACTGCCGAGCTTCGGGCAGGCTGCTTCCGTGTTGGGGGGCACCATGCTCCTGAGCCCTGGAGGACGTTAGCAGGATCCCCGGCCTCTGCCCCTGCCAACAGCACCCCGGTGTGACAACCCATGGGAGGGGCACGGCCCCCGCCCCAGGACGGCTGTGTGGGACGTGGACGTGGGCATTGTGTTTAGGGCAGCAATGCCAGCGTGGGCCCATGGCGCCCGCCTCCCCGGCCCAGCAGGACCTGCCAGCTAGCTTTGGAGCGAATGTAAAATCGATTGACCTGGTATAAAATATTAATAAGTGATTGGAAACTCTGTCCTAGATTCCTTCTCTGGGCATGTGCTTCTGTGAGGAAAATAAAGAGGAAGGAAAATGGGAACTGGTGAATCCTCCCGTGAAGACGCTGACCCACGGCTCGAACTCGGCGTTTAACTGGCGGAACTGGCTCCCGGGCAGCTAGGAGCCGCGCTCACGCTCTGCTCGGCGCCGGGAAGAGGGGCGTCCTCCGCTCCCCCGATGTGATTTGTAGATGCACGAAATGCACTTTTGGTTCGCCATCCGCTGTCGCCTTCGCAGCGGCCACCCGTGGACAGTTACCCTGTGAGTGCAGCCCTTGAGATGTGTGGACCTGCCGCGTGGCCAGAGGGAAGGAGCCGCGGCGACCCACCACGGGGTCCTGGAAGGACGCACCCACTCTATGTGCTGTGTTCTGATGAGTCACGTTCCCCGTCGTTTTCCTAGTTCTAGTCCAGTCACTTTTGGGCCATGTCCACACAGGCTGAAATGGGTATAATAGTGAATAAAATGCAACAAGAAACCACCGGCCAGCTCGAAGGCACGGAGCCGCGGCTCGGTGTCCACGCCCTGGGTATGAGTTTCCCATCGTTGCCATAACAAGTCACCACGGAGCAGCAATTAGGGACAACACAAATTTTTAATCACACGTGCACAGATTAGTTCCGTTACAGCTCTGGGGGTCAGGATTTCTAAGGTCAGCGGGCTGCATTCCTCCCAGAGGCTCTTGCGGAAGTGGCGGGGAGGGGTCTGTCCCCTTGCTTTCCCCGCCGCTGAGGCCCCTGCCCTGCCAGCCTGCAGACAGCAGCGTCTTCAAGCCCCCCCGCCCCGTCCCACCACTTCCACCACCACGTGGCCTTCTGCCTCGGACCCCGTCCCCATTTTGTAAGGTCTCTTGGGATTACAGAGGGCCCGCCTGATAGTCCAGGATGGTCTTTCATCTCAAGATCCACAACTTATTCCGTCTGCACGGTCCCCTTTGCCTTGTAAGGGACACAGTCACAAATCTGGGATTAGGATGTGGATGACTTTGGGGACAGTCTCCATCCCCCACACCCCACACATGGGGCTGCTTGTACCGGGGCCCCACTATGAGGATGTGACACACCCCACTCAGTGCAGACCTTCCCCAGCTTCTCCTTTTCTCCCTTTTGGTCAAGTGGAGGGGGAGGTGGCCTTGCAAATGGGGGGAGCATGTTCCGCCCCGACTCACAGGAGAGACCCACCACCAGCACAGGGACTCCTGCCCAGACGCTGCCAATCCCGTGGTGCCTCTGACTCTCCAGCTGTTGGTCCAGGTGGGTGATGGGTGTCTCTCCCGTGGCGTCCTCGACCCAGCCCCCACTGGTCACACCTGTCCCGACGGCCAATGCCTTCAGCATCCCGAAGTCCCACCCTGGCGCAGTGAACCCGACTGGCCTTCCTCCTCTCCCACCACGCTCCTGTTCCAGTGTTTGGGACCATGGTTGACCCTGCCTTGCACAGCGCAAAGAGGGAGCTGGAGGGAAGAGCCAGCCCCACCCCAGCACTCCCCTGCTGTCTCGCAGGCGAAGCTGGGGACACAGTCCACGGAGCTCTTGAGGAGCAGAGAGGGTGGACCCCGGAACCTGGACGGGGAACCAGCCACTCACAAAGAACACACGGGCCACACAAAAGGCTCTTCGCTATGCAGTCCAACCGGGCTTCCCGAAGGAAAGATAAAAGTGTTTGTCCCTTGTTTTACTTTACTCGTGACGTCGTTTTTCTGTCTCCAAACATGAAGATGTTTGCAGGTGGTGCAGAACAGAGAGCAGAGGGCAGCCCACTCACAGGCTGCTCCCATACCTGGTCTCCAACACAATGCTGTCTTAGGGAAATAACCCTGCATGCCTCCCAACAGGTACTGACCAGAAAGCAAACCGCCCTGGGACTGGGGTGGGCGAAGGGCAGCACCGCCCACGAAGTCCACGCCTGCCTCTGAGTGCCTGGACGCTGCCTTTCTCCGCAGCAAGTACGCGGTCGGGAGGAAGCCTTCCCTGTCCTCCCTCCCAGATACCCTGGTGCCACCCCAACATCACTAATCGTGATGATGAATAAACTTCACAAATCAAGTAAGTGGCCCCGTCTTTGGGGTGGTCCCGAGGTGTCTGGATTCGCCCTGTGGATGGTGAGGCTGCTGGGTCGCCTGCCCCTGGGTAATGAAGGGGAGGGCCTTCCTCCTTGCCGGGCTGCTGATGGGGGTTTGCAAGAGATGATGAGATGGGCTTGAACCTCAGATTCCAAGGCCAAAAGAGCAAGAAACTCCATTTTCTTCTTTTTTTAAGATTTTTATTTATTTATTTGAGAGAGAGACAGAGAGAGATAGTGACAGAGAGAATAAGCGAGGGGGGTGGGGGAAGAAGGAGAAGCAGGCTCCCTGCTGCAGGGAAACTCCATTTTCTTTTTCTTTTTCTTTTTTTTTAAGATTTTATTTATTTATTTGAGAGAGAGAGAGAGAATGAGAGAGAGAGAGAGAGAGCATGAGGAGGGGAGGGTCAGAGGGAGAAGCAGACTTCCCGCCCAGCAGGGAGCCTGATGTGGCACTCGATCCCGGGATTCCAGGATCATGACCTGAGCCGAAGGCAGTCGCTTAACTAACTGAGCCAGTCAGGCGCCCCGGGAAACTCCATTTTCTTTAAATTCTATAATTCTGGTTTTGACTAGCCCCCCATTCTGATGCAATGGCAGGAAAGCCCAGTTCCGACCCTTTTAGCTTCCAGAATGGGCCTCATTGTCAGGACGGGGGCCCTGAGAACAGAGCCACGCTGGAGAAAGGGAGGGATGGATGTTTATCACGGATTGGTGCAAGTTTGCAATTCTACCAAGGAAGAAGCCGAGCAACAAAGAGATCCGTGAGCTCTCTGTGGGCTCCAGCATCTGTGTGTTTGTAAGCCGACAGTGACCCCTGCTGACGTCCTCTGGGAATGGCCTCCTGTTACCGCAGACCCCCACCCGGCCCACCCACCGCATCTCTGGTTTCCTCACGGGGGGGCTGCAAAAAACAGGCCTGGAAAGGAGCTCTCCACGCGTCTGCTGACTCCCTTGATGTGGCGGATAGTCACTTGTGTTCACGAGCCTGTGGCGCGGTGAGGGAGACCCGACCCACCACCGGCTATTTCAGAAGATGGAAGGGGGGGGCATGGCCTTGGGGCCGGGCAGCAAAGGATTGGGGAGCCTAAGTCTGGCCTGATGGGGAATCTGGAGCCTCTGAGGGACACGTGCGTGGTGACGGGTCTGGGGCCACTGGTCCCTGGCAAACACCCTGTTACCTGAGAAGAAACAGCCATCGTAATTTCCCACTGAAGCAAGTCTTATTTTAGAACCAAATTTGAGAATTTTTTTTTTAAATCTGGTCATGTTGGTGAATTTCATGGGCTAAATTGTGTGCCCCCCAAATTCATAAGTTGAAGTCCAGACCTCCAGCACCTAGAATGTAGCCTTATTTGGAGGTTGGGGCTCTAAAGAGGTGATAAGGTAAAGTGAGGTCGCTAGGGTGGTCCTGATGCAATCTGACCGGCGTTCCTATGAGATCAGGACACAGACAGGCACAGAGGGCGACCGCGTGAGGAACAGAGAGGACCACATCCACGTGCCCGGGAGACAGGCCTCGGGAGGAGCCAGCCCACTCCACGCCTGGACGCCGGACCTCCAGCCTCAGACTGTGAGAAGATACACTTCTGCGGTCCCTCGTCACAGCAGCCCTCGGACAACACAGTGCCCAGAAAACCTTGGTATAAACACCAAAAAATACAAACCCCTGAGCGGCTGAGCACCAGCCATGTCGTGTACCTTGGCACAAGGTGTGTGGTAAACGGCACCATCGACTGAGCCTGTTAGATACCCACCTCCATGCACTTCCTCTCCCGACCTTTTTTTTCCCCTTTATTGTACTTATTTTTAAGCATTAAACATAAAAAAGTCTGGCTCCCTGTGGGCCAGCTAGGTCAGTGGGAGGGTTAAAGGCAAGAACACAGATCCCCAGGTGCCGCCCTGCTCCCCGCCTGGGAGAAGAGCACGGTTTCTATGCTCCCTGGGCTCGCGCCCACCCAGGTCATCCGGGAGCCGCCAGGGGCTCGCAGGTGCTCAGGAAGGAGTCTGTGTGACACAGTCCCCAAGCTTCCCTGCAGAGCCCACTGCCTTTCTCAGCCCTCGAGTAAGGGGGCTTACTGGTGGCTTTGCCAACGCGCCCATCGGGAGGAAGACCAGATATCCACCTGGGGCCACCCCCCAGTGCTCCCAGAGCCTCCCTCCTCTGCAGAGCCAAGCTGGGAAGGAGGGTGGTCTTCCCCACTCTGAACCACTTTGTCACCTGATCTCAGGGGCTCACGAAACCCCACGGACAGCCCTAGCCGGAACCTCCATCCTTCAGGCCCCCAGACCAGCCCAAGGAGCCACAGAGGGTAGAACTGGGGAGCACAGTCTCCCCTCCTCACCACGCAGAGCCCCCTCCCTCCAGCCTGCACACTGAAAGCAAGCGGGAGTACTCGCAGATGCCGGGACCACAGATCTGGAGCCCCAAGAAAGTCAGTCGAGATCCTGGGACCACAAGAGGAGAATCAGTGAGTGCCTGAGCTCAAAGATAAAGCTCAGACGTCGACAGACCTCATGTACGCCAACGTCACTGGGAGATGCAGTGACAGAAAACATCCCATGTACACAGCAATGACAACAGAACAGAAGATACCCAGGACTATGCTTAGGAGAACACCTGAGAACCTAAACCTGCCATGCGGGCCTGGAGGAGGACGGGTCTGGTTGGACTGGCACGCTGGGTCCTTGGGTAGGAGAGCCCGGCACTGCGAAGTGCTCACTGAGCCCTCCTGGGGGCCCAGCACCTGTGATCATGACTCACGGCACAGCTGTGTGTCCAGGGTTCAAACCCTCAGCACTGCGGACATCTGGGGAGGGGAACTCTTTGTTGCGGGGGGCGGGGGCTGTCCTGTCCATTGTGGGGTGTTTAGCGGTACCCCTGGCCTTGACCCAGTAAGATTCCAGTAGCACGCCCCTTTGACAGTCATGCTCACCAAACACGTCTCCAGATCTTGCCAAATATGCCCTGGGGAGCAAAATCGTCCCCCATTGAAAACCCCTGCTGTGTTCGCTGAGCCCTGGTCCCAGGCGATTTGTCAAGGTCCTTGGGCACCCATGACAACACAGGGGTGCGGGGCGGGGGGGGACCCGGCGTAACCATTTCACACCCTCACGGAGTAGACGCGCTATTCTGGAGACGAACATCAGGAAAAAAATGTGTCTGTCTCGAGTTGAGCAGCGTGTGATGCTCTGAAGGGCAGGGTCCTGTGACATGAGGACAGAGGAAGTCCAGGCACGAACTGGCCCCCTGCCACCCAGATTCTAGATGTGGAAAGTGTGCCACGAGCATCAAAAGGCTGCAGCGTCCTTGGGCCCGGGGCCGATCCCAGCACAGCAGG